CAGAGATGAGTGCTACATTCTGACCTGTGAGTCTTTAGCGGGCGAGGCATTTGTTTTTGTTTATGGCTGCAGTGGTCATTTATTTTGGAAGGCAGTCTTAATTTTTTCCCAGGTTTACCCAATTAATTCCTCCTCCTGTCTACTGGATCAGCTTCATCCCCAAGCCATGTTGACACAATGGTGACAGCAGGAACTGTCTTTGTCTCACATTAGTAGAAACGACTTCAGCATTTTCTTTTAGTAAAATGCTTGTGCTTGGTTTTCACCAAATGGCATTTACCGTGTTGAAGTCGTTTCTATCTGCTTCACCAAGCAGCCTCATAGAAGGAAAAATAACGTAGCCGTCGGACACACCTGCGAGCTGCCGAAGCCTGAGAAATCGCTGGCACAAATTCAGAAATATGGATTTGTTGCTCTGCGACAGTGAGAAACTCAAAAATACCTTTTGTGTTTAGAGAATTTATCCAGTGGAAAAGCAGGGTCACTGCGTGGAGCAGGCCACAGCCAACTGGGCGGTCTGCCCCCATGGCACACTGCTGTCGGGCTCCAGCGAAGGCTCAGCAGGCAGGGACAGGGGAAGGACACGGGGCTGCAGTATAGGAGGGGGTGAGGCTGTACCCTAAGAGCGGTGGGCTGTGCTGCACGGGGTCGCACTGTCCTCTGTGCGCTACCTGGCAAGCACGTTCCCTTCCCTCCGTCCAGCAGAGCTGTGGATCTGAGCACAAGGTGGATGGGCACAGCCAGTTTGGCCCCTTTGCCTGCTCCTGAAGGCTTCCTAGCCGGCGTCTGATGCTGTCGCTGCTTCTTATTCTTCATCAGCGTTGGGGACTGTACCTAGGGCCTTCACACTGAGTATAACCCCAGCTTCTTCCTTATTTTTTATTTTGAGACAGCTTGCAGTCCTCCTGTCTCTGCCCTCTGGGGTGCTGGAATTGGAATCGCACGACCTGCAGGCTCTGTCACTGTTTTCATTCTAGCCATTTGGGTGGGAAGATTGTCACAGTCAGCCCCAGGCCCGGTTCTGGCCGGTCTGGTCTGCCTTTTCCTCTTCAACCT